ATTTTGAACTGAGACAGCCGCTTTGAAGATCTCTCAATGTGGCTCGCAGGCTTTGTAAGTCTTTTGAAGGGTTTAACATTTAAACCTCAAGATTTTATCTAAAAGACCAAAAAAAGGAACAAGGAAAAAGAAAAAGGCTTAAAAGGCCCTAAAAGATGTTTAAGGGTTAAACCTAAAGGTTTTTATTGTCAAAAGATATACGAAGCCTGTGAGCTCTCTTTTTCAGTGTTTTCTTTTTCAACTCTCTTTTTTCCATACCTGACACCCGCAAACTTTTGCATACTATTTAAGGTCACCCAGACATTCATGACCACCATACAAACATCACCCAAATACCGTCTCCTCCTGGCCATGTAGTGCGTAAGGTCAAGAACAGCTATGATAATCGATTAAGTCCTAGCATCAGCGGCCCGCCATTCAGAGTTCAGTCATTTTGATGCATTGAATACAAGTTTTGAACACACATCACGTTTTGTGCGAATAATGCAGGAGTTTGAGCATTTACGAGGGTAAGACCGGGAATTGAGCAACTTAAGAATAGTGCCATATAGTGGTATATGCATGTAAACCAACAATACAGAACTACTACCAAATACGCAAAACAACCACGAAAAAGGGCATAAACGCGCACACGTCACACTATAAGGAGCTCGTAAACACGCGCCAGCATACGCACCACCTCTCGGCAGGTTGAAGTACTAGAAGTGAGTCAGTTCATCCGGTACAGTGACCATTCAGGCACGCCAATCTGACAGCCAGGTCTGACGTCATAGAAACGTTCCATGACGTCATCAAATGATGACGTATTGAGGAGATTAGTTACCCAAAATATATATTTTGTCCAAAACAGCCTAAACGACATCGGGGTAAACGGCCTTAACGCTTTCACGTTTAATCGGTTTACACCACAGTAATCAGGTTCTCAAAGCAAAAGAAGAATCTTTCGCCGACTATCAAGGCGCATTTTTGCACAAACAATATCCTTTATGTGCACAACTGCGCATAGAAGGAAATGTTTAAGATTTGAAGATATTGAATGCTAACATCAGCTACGATGCAATCAGCTCGCTTACAACTAGTGGTCCGCTTTAAAGTAGAAGGAATGCTCCAGACGATACAATTTCTCTATTTCATAAATAATCTACTCAATACATCATTGTTTGACTTGCGTCATGGAACGTTTGTAGGACAGCATTCACTCGCAGTTCTTTAATCTCCCGAGAGGGCCCGCGGCGGTGGCTGGATGTGCAGATGAACCCAATATCGTTAGGTGCTCCGTTGTTTTTACCCTGTTTCGTGTTGTTATAGCGGTACTGCTAAGTAATTTGTTACAAGTCTTATTTCTGCAATACACAGGAAGAAGGCATAGCGTCTTGTGTTGTGTAGCACAAAAAATAAGTCATATTACGATCTCTCATGGCTTGTACAGCATTGGTTAAGATCCCATTGATGGCCGGCATATTTGGAAGTCATGCTCATAAGCGCCAGATATGAACGACTCGACAATTATGTTTTACTTGACCTTGATTGCCGCATAGCTAATGGAATGACATAATTTGAATGACGTTATTATGGAGCCACGAATGCGTAGGTGACCTTGTAATAATTTGCACGAAATGGTCTACACATCTTCGCGGACGTATTGCTCGGAAACTAGAAAGGTTTTGGTCTTAAGGAGGGCAGCGCTGTGAACTGCTCCGAATAATCTTCAAGATGGCTATTTCATCTGAAAACCCCATACAAATGTGGAGCATTTCCTTCAAAACAAAAGCCCGCCCTCAGACAAAGGCCATCTTGAAAAGTACCGAATTCTGCGGAACTGTTAGCGTCTCGCCCCACCACGCGAGTGAACACCACCAAAGAGGTAGTTTACGCTCCTGAAATGCAGTTAATGACCGATGACGGAGTTCTTGATGGGCTTCGCGCTGAGAAAGTCTGTCAAGTCCGTCGTCTGACGACATTGAAGGATGACTATGAGACAAGCCTGTTTGTCCTCACTTTCCGAACAAATCAGCTGACTAAAACTCACATTGCTGCCCATCTTCGCTACTCGGTCCGAGTTTTCATTCCAAACCCGATGAGAACATTTCCTTCCGAAAAGCCAATGTTTTCTGGCTGAACACACAAATCTGGCCATTTGCGGTGCGTCTGATCTGAACGTTGAACCCCGGCAAACGATATCTCATCATCAAAGGGAATGTTTCACACTTGAAGATATTGAAGCAAGCATCAAATGCCATACAACAAGCTCACTTATGGCTATTGGTGTACTTTTATACAGGAAAGACTGCTCTAGACAGCACAATTTCTCTGTTACGTATATAAGCTCCGCGACACGTCATTGTTTTATTACGTCATCGTAAATTGCATAACATTGATTGAGAGCCAGTTGATGGCTGTTTAA